TTTCATTCCTGTCAGAAATTTAATATGCTCTCCTCACTAAGCTCTGCACAAGCTCAACTTTAGTTCAGCGTTTATACAGATGGTTAAGCCTTTATCTTAAGCTGTTGTGTGAATATTTTGAGATTCACATCTACTGTATATAAGTAAACAAGGCTGTCAATAAAAACATTGACAGTGTGAACACACGATGATCTTTTTTATGCTTTTTTTTTCTTGAATGGGCATTTTAATGGGAAAAATGAATTAATTTAAGAGAAGTAAATAATGACATGAATGAACTATGCCTTTAAAGTTCAGTGGATTTTGCATGTTTACATCACAGCGGGGATATTTACACTTGGAAACTCTAAGACACATTTAAAACCGACAGAAACCCGATCTGGTGCTTAGAGATTTAGCCAAGTGTAAATCCATCTGGCTGTTCAGGCCACATATGCAAACTTTGCTGCTCCTGAACAGATCTGTCTCAGTGTACGGATGTCTTATAAGAGAATGTGGCACACAATATTCTCTGTACCACAAATGTCAAAGCTAATTCAGCCACGTCGTGCTTTTAGCAGCCATGTTAAATGTAGCAAATTTTGATGCCCAGCACCAAAACACACTTATGTAGCCATGCACAATCAGACAATCATTCAAATCATAAAGATCTGTAAATAATTTACTGTTTACAACTGATATTAAAACGTGTTTCTGTGAATACGACCATGAATAGACAATGTAAAATACAGGTGAATACATTGTCTGAAATGTTGTGAGCTTGTCCACTTTGAACCACCTCCACAGGGAGTCTATACGGGGAGTGTAGAAGCTCTGTAGCAGAAAGGATCTACATTTTTTTTTCTATTTTAAAACGTAAATATGGCTTGAATTCACTCATACCATTCCTGATTCTAAGCTCAACCAGGGATGTGTGTATCAATAATAAATCAATACTCCAAAGCTACTTATTCAGCATTGCTATTTTCTAAAAGTATTGATATTTTAACTATATTAATAGTTAATTCAGAACTAAATGTTTTTAGTACTGTGTGCTGGATGATCATCGGACAGTCAGACGATGATATACTGGTCTTTTATGATTGGTCAGACTTGCATCTAAAGATACAGCATATTGCTATTTCTTGATTGGTCAGACTCACATCTAATTAGACTTGCTTTTCTGAAATTAGTGATCTTCAGAGCCTAAATAAAAACTACAAAAATCTAGACAGTTGAATGCTGAAGACAAAAAGTCGCTTTAAATTAAGAAATCAGTGAATGTTTGCTAGCAGTTTTTGTTGGTGCTGTTGTTCCTTATTAAGATTTATGTTTAAGTTGTTTAAGCATTATAAATTGTTAGTTTTAAAATCGAAATAAGTAGTTTTATATAAAGTATCAAAGTAAAAAAAATTAACAATATTAATAACAGTACTCGTATAGCCTCTTTACCCTTCTGTATTACTCCGCCCACATAGAGTGACCGCAGATTAATAAACTCACTACAGTTTGACAAATATTGCAGCTGTTGGACAACATAATGTACGTTTGAGGCTTTTTTTAGTCAAGAATGTAGTTTATTTATGCAGTTTATTTATGAGGATAGTGCCTATTTTAAATATTTATAATTTCTGAGATACAGTGCCTTGGCATCCATCAGCCTGTCATACTGAACAGAGGAGGTTGATGTTCCACCACAAGATGGCAACAGAGACTGCATAATAAGCGCTTAGAAAGTCGCTTACCTCAATTTGATTGAGTTTTTCTCCTCTAAGTTGATCTCTCTCTTGTTTGTTGTAGTGCTGTATTTATACAGTGGTCTGATAGTTTTTGCTTTGCTTTTGATTTTTTGGGGTTAATTATTGCTACATCCCAATTGCAACAGAGAAATGCAGGGAAATGTCTCTAGACTGATGCATTTGCATGCCGTTAAGCCTTAAAATCTTAACATGTGAACAAAATCACCTAAGAATAAATGGAAGTAGTTCCTCATGCAAAAGGATTTTGTGACATATGATTATGCCATCGAACTGTTGTATTATCGCAATATTACTCTCACAGCAGTGCGATATGGCTGTATATCATCACTGGTAAGACACTAACAGTGTCCCATCAGTGCTGACATACAGCCATATCACACTGCTATATATTTAATAATTTGCATTAGATAATTTGTAATAATCTTATTCAAAAACATTATTTTGAAAAATGACATTCACTTTTAAAATAAAAAGTAGTATTGGCATTGGCATCAGTATCGTTAAAAATTTAAGAAAAATACAACTGTAGCGTTTCACATTGCTAGGTGTATAATTGTATTATCATCCATCTCTAACACAAACCCACAGTGTTCAGAAAGAAGGAACAAAATCTACTGCTGTCTGTATAATTTTCTGTTGCCTCCAGTTGTGTTTAAATACAGTGCATCCGGAAAGTATTGATAGCACTTCACTTTTTTCACATTTTTAATGTTACAGCCTTAATTCAAAATTAATTAAATTCATTTATTTCCTCAAAGTTCTACACACAATACCCCATAATGAAAATGTGAAAAAAGATTTTATGAAATTGCTGCAAATGTATTAAAAAAAAAAAAAAACTGAAAATCGCATATACATAAGTATTCACACTTAAGCATTTGTTGCTGCATGTTTGGCAGCAATTACAGCCTCAAGTCTTTTTGAATATGATGCCACAAGCTTGGCACACCTGTCTTTGGGAATTTTTGCCCATTTCTCTTTGCAGTACCTCTCAAGCTCTATCAGGTTGGATGGGAAGCAACAGTGTACAGCCATTTTCATATCTCTCCAGAGATGTTCAATAGTATTTAGGTCTGGGCTCTGGATGGGCCACTCAAGGACATTCACAGAGTTGTTGTGAAGCCACTCCATTGAAATTTAGGTGGTATGCTTTGAGTCATTATCCTGCTGAAAGATGAACCATCTTCCCAGTCTGAGGTCAAAAGCACTCTGAGGCAGCATTTCATTCAGGATGTCTCTGTACATTACTGCATTCAAATTTCTCTCTATCCTCACTAGTCTTCCAGTTCCTGCTGTTAAAAAAATATCCCCACAGCATGATGCTGCCACCACCATGCTTCACTGTAGGGATGTTATTAGCCTGGTGATAAGCAGTACCTGGTTTTCTCCAAACGTAACGCCTGGCATTCACTCCAAAGTGTTCAATTTTAATCTCACCAGACCAGAGAATTTAGTTTCTTATGGACTGAGAGTCCGTCAGATGCTTTCTGGTAAATTCCAGGCAGGGAGAGGCTTCCGTCTGGAAGTCTAGCCACTCTACCGTACAGGCCTGATTGGTGGATTGCTGCACAGATGGTTGTCCATGTAAGGTTCTCCTCTCTCCAAAGAAAAACGCTGGAGCTCAGGCAGAATAACCATCAGGTTATTGATCGCCTCCCTGACTAAGGCCCTTCTCCCCCGACCACTCTGCTTAGATGGCCGGTCAGCTCTAGGAGTCCTGGGGCCTCATGTACGAAGACTTGCGTGGAAATCATACTAAAACATTGCGTACGCACAAAGCTGTAAATGTGCGTACACAGAAAAAAATTCAAATGTATGAAACACTGCGTACGCCGAATCTCACGCACATTCTTTTGTACATCCGAATGAACGTGAAACTGAGCGCAACATGCACGAGCACAAAACCCCTCCCTGCCTCCTCCCCCGTATGAATATGCTAATGACTCTACTTTGGCAAAACCCAATGAAAAAGCAATGGCAAAAGCAAGCAAAAAGAGAAACTTTGAACAGAATGTGAATTGGAGGTGCTGCTTTCGGAGGTAGATCGGAGAAAAACTGTTATTTGCGAGTTTGTCCTCCAGAATTAACAACAAAAGAAAAAAATAGAGTGGGAGAGTTTTGCTGATGCGGTTAACACAGTTGGGTCTGAACATCGCACTGAGTGAATTAAAAAGGAAATAGTGTGGTTTATAGGTGTAAAATGTTGCTATACCCTTAACAGTCTCAGTGGTGCAGCTTGTAATACGCATGTCAACATGTTTTGACACGTTCAAGCTTGAACTCGGTTCGAATCCAGCGTCTGATGAACTCATTTTTCTTTTTCCCACTACATATCAGATTTTGTCAACTATTTATCAAGAGAAAGACAAGTAGGAATCATTAATAAGTTTGTGCATCATATTTTATTTGCACATTTATTGAATGGAAATGTTTCTGATTCACGCATGCAAATTCATCTTCAGATAGTGTCTTTATAGCAATGTGCGTGCAGTAGATCGCTCAGATTACATTGGGAAAACAGGCGACCGCTGCAAATTGCGCTTTAATGTTTGGCTGGTCAACTGTATGGTATGGAAACCTTATATACCTGCTGAACCCGTCTCATACAGCTGCCATTGCAAGGCTCAAAGACACTTTGTAGAGAGCAATTTAACACAACTGCCTCTAGGAGTCGCCAATGGAAATAAAACAGACACGCACAAAAAATGTGCATACGCCAGCCATAAAGCTGGCGTGGAGCTGCGCACATTCCCACGTTCAGTTCATCGTTAGTAAATCCTAACGTGAGTGATTCTGAGTGTGAAACCTGGCGTACGCAAAGCTTTTGTGCGTACGCAGCATTGATACATGAGGCCCCTGGTGGTTCCAAACATCTTCCACTTACGGATGATGCAGACCACTGTGCTCATTGGAAGCAGCAGAATTTTTTTTTCTGTAACCTTCCCCAGCCTTGTGCCTCGAGGCAATTCTGTCTCAGAGGTCTACAGACAATTCCTTTGTCTTCATGCTTGATTTGTGCTTTGACATGCACTGTCAACCCTGGGACTTTATATAGACAGGTGTATGCCTTTTCAAATCAAGTTCAATCAACTAAATTTACCAAAGATGAACAACAATTAAGCTGCTGAAACATCTCAAGAATGATCAGTGAAAACAGAATGTACCTGAGCTTACTTTTGAGTTTCACAGAATACTTATGTACATGTGATTTTCAGGTTTTTTATTTTTCAATAAATTTGCAACAATTTCAAAAACTCTTCTTTCACATTGTCATTATAGGGTATTGTGTGTAGAAAATAAATGAATTTAATCCATTTTGAAATAAGGCTGTAACTTTAAAAAAGGTGGAAAAACTAAGCGCTATAAATACTTTCCGGATGCATTGTATAATTTGTACACTTTACTTTGCAATATCAAATTGAAAGCCCAGATATACACCCACCCATAGATCCTCCCTTCAAGGAAATCAGGAAAATGGTCAAAAGTGGACAAAAAGTACAGGTTAAAATGCCACGTGTAAAATGAAATGTCTCCCAAGTCTAATTGTGTTTCAAGCCTAAACTGCATTTTAGTAATGTGTGTAAACAGGTTTTAAGTGTAAACATGAACCAGAATTAAAGAACATTCCTTCTGTAAAGTCTAGAAACACAAAACATGAAGCTAGAAAAAACAGATTACTGCCACTCGAGGTCCTTGGAGATAAGAAAATGGGTGAAACACAAGTGGAGTAATTAAACTGACATTCTGAATTTTTCCCAGATGAAAACACAGCTGAAGCAAACCGATTGTGACATTTAGCTTGCATCGCAGTCTCTTAGCTTTCCTGTGGTGTATATGGGTTCGGGATTGTATGTCTGGTTTATGTGATGGAGGTTTGGGTGATGCTCCGCTGGCTGCTGGTGCTTTTGATGACGTAGGTGGAGGAGTTGCTCTTACGGGAATCTTGCTCTGGATCATAGCGGCATTGAGAGGACTTCAGATAGAGCGTGGAGCAGCAAAACAGATTCTGCTTCAGGTCATGGAAGAGATGGCCAGCAAAAAACATGTAGATCCAGGGGTTGCAGCAGCTGTTCAGACTGGCCAGCAACATGGAGATGATAAAGGGCATCGCTTTGGAGGAGAAGAAAACAGCTTTAAAAGTCAGAATTATTAGCCCCCTATTGTTTTTTTTCACAATTTCTGTTTAACTGAGAGAAGATTTTTTCAACACATTTCTAAACAGCAGTTTTATTAACTCATCTCTAATAACTGATTTATTTTATTTTTGCCACAATGACAGTATAATATTAATAATAATATTTTAGAATAATATTTTACTAGATATTTTTCAAGACACTTCTACACAGCTTAAAGTGACATTTAATGGCTTAACTAGGTTAATAAGGTTAACAGGGCAGGCTAGGGTAACTAGGCAAGTTATTGTATAGTTATGGTTTGTTCTGTAGACTATTGGGGAAAAATAGCTTAAAGGGGCTAATAATTTTGTCGTAATCATTTTGTAATTATAACTAGAAAAGTATAAGTTGCAGAAACTAGAAAAAATATGTTATAGTAACTAGAAAATTTAATTTTGGTAACTAGAAAAAAGAAGCTATGAGAACGATAAAAATAGAGTTGCAGTAACTAAAAAACTTATTTTGCAGTAACTAGAAAAATAAAACTGCAGTAACTAAAAAATAATTTGCAGTAACTAGAAAAAATTACGTTTCGGTAACTAGAAAAAAGCTATGAGAATGATGAAAATGACGTTGCGGTAACTAGAAAACAATATGCAGTAACCAAAAAAATTAAGTTGCGGCAACTAGAAAAAAAAGAATTTGTGGTAACTAGAAAAACTTATTTTCAGTAACAAGAAAAAAAGCTATAAGAACTATAAAAATGAAGTTGCAGTAACTAGAAAACATAACATGCTGTAACAAGAAAAATTAAATTTCTGTAACTAGAAAGAAAGTTATAAGAACACAATTTCAGTAATTAGAAAAAAAGTTTTAGTAGCTAGAAAAAAGCTATGAGAACTATAAAAATTATGTTGCAGTAACTAGAAAATGTAACATGCGGTAACTAGAAAAAAAGCTGTTATAACGGTAAAAATTAAGTGGCAGTAACTAGAAAAATTAAGTTTTGTAAGTAGAAAAAGAATAATCTATGAGAACTATAAAAATGAAGTTGCGTTAACTAGAAAGTTAAATTTGAGCTAACTAGAAAATTTAAGCTGCAGTAACTAGACAAGACACACACTGTAAAAAAAGTTGATTCAACTCAAAATTGTAAGGCAACTTGCTGCAGAGCTTTTTTAATTGTCTTAACCCGAGTACTGCACTTGACAATTTAAGTTGAGTAAACTCAAAAAAGTTCTGCAGCAAGTTGCCTTACAATTTTGAGTTGAATCAACTTTTTTTACAGTGTAAGTATTGTTTGAAGGATGTGTGACTGAAATAATAAAATTACTATGACACGGGTGTCTGAATCAAGAAGACTACAAACTTTTAACAAAGATTCATTAGGCAAATCTACTGTTTGTTAGCAATTTCTGAATATTTTTAAGTAAACCTTACATCAAATAAGAGTGATATTCAGTGCCAAACTGTAAAATTAAGATGAATGACATAGGCTGTGTCCTATATCTAACCTCATACAGAGCAATCTCTCAGATCTCATATTAGCACAGATTAGGTCTGAATGAGCAACTGCAGAAGGAAAGATGAAAACATGTCACTGGGAAAACGTTGCACACTAATACAACAGTCATTGCAAATGAAGCAATTTATTTTGGTTATGTATCTTGATAAGGGCCTGCGCCACTGTTTTATTTATCTAAGAAGTTCAGAAATATGTGAAAAGCTTTGGTGTCATTCAGCATTGAGCCCCAAAATCAGACATGCTTTATCATTTCCGACAATCTTGTTTTGCACTGCAAAACTGCATGATGTCATGTGACTTCTTTATTATAAAAACAGTGTTAGCGGCCTGTGGAATCTGTCACTGAGCTGTCCTTGCTTTACAAACAGACGCATATAGACAGAATAAACAAGAACTTGTTTGCTAGCTCATAACAATGCTGAAAGATCTGCTAAGCTAGAAAGCAGGAGATGACTGAAAGAGGTAAACTCATTATGCTCCTATTTACATTTAAGCAATAAGCTACTCGAGGTCAAAGTTGTTGTGATTTTCATCATGGGAAAGGAGTGTTCGCAAGCAAGAGCTGAAGTGAGAAAACCCTTAACTGTGAGATTTAACCCTCCACCGCACACATTTTGATAAACCTGTAAAAAAAATATTTGACTTTCTTTTCTTAAAATGGCTTAACTTAAAGTGCTGTAAAAAAAAAAAAAAAAAGGAAACAATTCTTTTTTTTTAAGGTACTTTATGAAATGTTGCCGTATGGCAACAACGTCCAACAGTGGATCTACCTGAGAAATTTCAAATTTAAAACTTTCCGCATAATTAATCATTTATTTAGTTAAAATAATTTAATTGGTGTTGCAGCATTATGAGCTTTAGAACTTATAAATGACACCTTATACATACTTTACCACAACTCATATTCCAACAGCTTTCATTTATTTATTTTTTATTTTTTTGCTGAATATTATTAAAAACAATCATAAAATTGTATTATCATATTTACAACGGCAAGGCAGTGGCGCAGTAGGTAGTGCTGTCACCTCACAGCAAGAAGGTCGCTGGTTCGAACCTCGGCTCAGTTGGCGTTTCTGTGTGGAGTTTGCATGTTCTCCCTGCCTTCGCGTGGGTTTCCTACGGGTGCTCTGGTTTCCCCCACAGTCCAAAGACATGTAGTATAGGTGAATTGGGTAGGCTAAATTGTCCGTAGTGTATGAGTGTGTGTGTGAATGTGTGTGTGGATGTTTCCCAGAGATGGGTTGTGGCTGGAAGGGCATCCGCTGCGTAAAAACTTGCTGGATAAGTTGGCGGTGCATTCCGCTGTGGCGACCCCGGATTATTAAAGGGACTAAGCCGACAAGAAAATGAATGAATCACATATACAACATACAGTAAATATAAATATTTTCTCCAGTAAATATTATAACAAATAAATAACAAGTCTAGTATATCCAGATGCATCAGCTACTAGCTAACAATGTTTAAATATATTATCCTATATACTATACTATGCCTGTCTTATCTGCGTTTGAGCTAACTTACCTGAACTGTCCCTATCAAATGTCCAGTCTGCATTATTCTCATGGTCACTAAACCCTTCTCATCCTCATTTTCATCTGCAGGAAGAGCAGTTCTGTCCTTTTCTTTTTTAAATTACCATAGAACATGGTGCTTGCTAATACACTGTTCCCTGTATTCATATCTATTCAAAAGTATTGCCATTAAAACTAGATTTTATCCATAATGCAACTGTCATTAACATACAAGAATTCAACATTATATTACTAGCATTTATGTTGTTATTGTTACAACTTAAAAGTTCACAGCTGACCTTGCTATCTAGCTAACCCCTTGCAATATTGCATGTTCCACTATTGCAAAGTGTTGCCATTTGGTAACATACAAAAAAACTAAATTGATTTAAAAAATTTTGAGTTGTGAATATGTCATCATAACTTACTGGAGGTGATGTTTCAGATTTTTTTGTGGATCTGACATAATTTGATCCTTTGCTTTTATTGACGTTTACATTTGCATTTAACAACTACACACAATAAAAGCCAGTCTGTCAGGAATCGAGCTACAGAAAAACACTCGATGTCATGTGGCTTAACCAAAGCACATCATTGGCTGCTCAAAAAAATAATATGTTGGTTTCAAAGAAACAGGGGCAGGGAAATGAATATGAGTATCATGTTACCATATGGTTACGCCGTGCATTAGAGGGTTAACTGTCGATTTTGCTTTTTAATAACACTGTATACCGTAGTTTACAGAACACTGCGATGCATAAGAATGACATACTTTAGCAAGGATGAGTTAAACTGTTCAAGTAACAATAAAGAAACAACAGTTTGGTTTATCAACATTTTACTCAAATTTGAGTTGCATTTTCAGAGCTGATCAGAATAGAAAAGAGAGAGCAGCTCATCTAATTAGAATCGGAAAACTGGACTTGTTATGTGAAATCTTTTCATAAAAAATGTTTTAGCAATGAATCTATGATAAAAAAAAAGAAACCTGGAGAAAAAAACAAACAGAACTTGCAACTCAAATGAACAAATATATAAAGAGAAAGCGAGGCAAGTGGCAACATCCAGCTCTCCCTTTTGAAGCTAATACAGACGTAACTGAAACTGCAATTCCTTAACTGACCTTAGGGGGCTGGCTCCAGAAACTCCAGATATCCACTGACTGCTATGCCAAACTGGCCAATTTTACAGCTGATACAAACATGTTTACAGCCAGTTTCAACCAGTATTGTTTTTTTACATTTTATTTAAATTAAGTTTGCATAATTAAAGGCATGGCCATTTGAGTGACAGCTAGATGTTGCCGGTCGCTGTCACTTCACCTCAGCTGATTAGCCACTGAGCTCTGCACATATATCATATTTTTGTTTTGTTATATGTTGCTATACACATATTATGTGGCCTTTTGGGATTATTTCTTACAATTATTAGATAATATGGCTTGCTGTGTACACATAATTGTGCTCACAAACCTTTCAAGTGATCTCTTTTTCCCAGGTGAGTGAAATTTTTATTCTTAAAAATTCTTTAACAGTCATCTGAAACACTGTCATGCAGTGTCATGATAGGATTTCATAAATAGCGTTGCTTTTGCTAGCACAGACTATATTTAAAGTATTTGGAAGTAATTCGCAATTTCCTCCTGTGGAAAAATATCATAAGAACAATGCTTAGTGGCTCAGTGTATTACAACAGTGTTTTTAAAAGACCAAACAGAATTTGTTATTTTAGTACACAACCAAGCACATGGTCAGAACTAAGCATGGGACGATAACTGTGTTCAAGGTATGCCACGGTTTGGAAAAGTCAAGGTTTTAAAACCATCAAAATTTTCTGCTATACTGTTCTTACATTTTTTTTTAGGACAGCAGTATCTCCAGCAGAAAAGATCTCTAAAGATGTCGTTTTAAATTGTAAAAAAAAATGTTTTTGAAACAAATGAAGGCAACAGAAGTC